AAGGGTCATTTGAAATACGAACTGAGGACCAGACCTCTGAATGCTTTTCCTTTGCTATGTATGAACAAGATGGGTTTATTCTATAAAGTATACTCTGTTAAGGGATGTGGTGGCTCAGTGGCTAAGATGTTGAACTTGTCGATCGAAAGGTCGGCAGTTCAGTGGTTCGAATCCCTAGTGCCGCATATTGGGGTGAGCTCCAGTTACTTGTCCCAGCTTCTGCCAACCTAGCAGTTCAAAAGCACGTAAAAAATGCAAGTAGAAAAATAGGGACCATATTTGGTGGGAAGGTAACAGTGTTCCATGCACCTTTGGCATTTTTTCATGCCGGCCACATGACCACAGAGACGTCTTTGGACAGCGCTGGCTCTTCAGCTTTGAAACAGAGATGAGCATCACCCCCTAGAATCAGGAACGACTAGCACACATGTGCAAGGGGAACCTTTACCTTTACCTTATACGCTGTTAATGGGCTTTTTATCTTTGCCTAATGCACCGCTTTATAAAACCCTAGTAAGGCCACCCCTGGAATACTGCAACTAATTTTGGTCACCATACTACAAAAAAAGATGTCGAGACTTTGGAAGAAGTTCACAGAAGAGCAACTAAGAGGCTCAAAGGCCTGGAGACTAAACCATATGAAGAATGGCTGCAGGTTTTGGCTAGTCCAAAGAAAAGAAGGACTAGGGGGGGACATGATGGCAGTATTCCAGTACTTGAGTGGCTGCCACAAAGAAGAGGGAGTCAAGCTATTCACCAAAGCACTGGAAGACAGAACAAGAAATAAAGACCCAAGGAACACAATCCAGGAGCAAGGAAAACTCACATCAGCAGCCTTATTTATTATTTTATTTTATTTTATTTATCAAATTTCTATACCGCCCTACTCCCGGAGGACTCAGGGCGGTGAACAGCCAAGATAAAAGGGATTAAAAGTCCCTTAAAATTATTAAATATTTTGGCCGAAACACAAATTAAAACACCCAATTTATAGAACAAATCAAACGATTTAAAAATTTAAAAGGGAGAGTTAGGCCAGGCCAGCCTGTTGAAATAAAAAAGTTTTGAGAGCACGACGAAACGTGCACAGATCCGGGATCCTCCGTATCTCTGGGGGGAGCTCGTTCCAGATGGTAGGTGCCCCCACAGAGAGGGCTCTCCCCCTGGGGGCCACCAGTCGACACTGTTTGGCCGACGGCACCCTGAGAAGCCCCTCTCTGTGGGACCGTACTGGTCGGTGAGAGGCTATTGGTAGCAGAAGGCGGTCTCGTAGATACTCCGGTCCGATGCCATGGAGCACTCTAAAGGTGGTAACCAAAACCTTGAAGCGCACCCGGAAGACCACCGGGAGCCAGTGCAGCTCGCGCAGGAGGGGAGTCACATGGGAGCGCCACGCTGCTTTCTGGACCAGTCTTGAATCTTTCCTTGTCTCATCACTTGAGACTTTCAAGAAGAGATTGGACTGCCATTTGTCAGAAATGGTGTTGGGTGGAGGATTGGATTAGATGACCTACAAAGTCCCTTCCAACTCTGTTAATCTGTTAAACCTGTTAAACCTTCCAGATGTGGCAAAGATAATCTTCCTTTCCCCTTACGAAAAACCACCACTGACATAGGTCACCTGGCACTGGCAAGTGAGAAGCCATCACCCCCGATTCACACAATAAACCACACTGAAGCGTGGTTACATTTACACAGAATCGGTTAGGAAGGAATTCATCCAGGAAAGCATTTCATAAATTCCTTATTGTTTATCTCTTTGCAATGCGGGTATAAAGAAATAGATCCCGACTTCCTGTCTGGTTTCCGGTGCCGCCAGACGGTCCTCTGCGACCGCCGCCCCGTTGCCTGTAAAAGAGCCGCCTTTACATCTGAAAGGCGGCTCGAAAAACTCCATTTCCTGATGGAAATGTGAGTCTGAGCGGGTGGGGGTGGGTAGAGCCCTCTGCGAAGTCCCCAGAGTCTTTTTAAACTCTTGGGGTCGAGCAGGTTGGCGCTCCCCCTTTTTCCCTCGCCGCCGCTCCAGGCATCGGGTGCACTATGCACTTTTGCATAGCCAGGCGCTGGAACCGGACTAATCAATGAACTTAACAGATGGATCTACTAAAAAAAAAAATATGAGATTTGGATTTGGATTTGGGACCCTAAACCGCAAGTATTCTTAATGAATTTACAAGCATTTTAAAGTGAAGAGAAGGGAAAAAAAAAAGTTTTAAAATGGCCGCGGAGGCTTGGAAAGTAGAAAAAAGAAGAGTCTTTTTATAACAGATACAAAGTTGCGGAATATACAGCGCTGGCTACAATTTGAAACAATAATAGTTATTTTAGGTTCCTCTCTTCCTGGTGATTACTTGATCTTGTTTGGGGGGTGAAAGAGAAAAGTCTGCTGGAAGGATGGCGTTAATAAAAGCTGACAGACAAGAAAGGGGGGGGTGCTCCCCCACTCTCTGAGCCTACAGACTCTGCAGAATGGTTGTAATTTAAAAGAATTTATTCAGGAGGAAATGGCAAAATATTATGAAACTGTGAATCAGAAATTTGAAAATTTAAGGCAGGAAATTAAAGAAATGATACAACTAAAGTATGATAATTTGCAACAAAAGATTGTAACAGTGACTAATGGTTTTTCAGAAATTGCGATAAAGTTGGATACAAATATTAAATTGCTAGAGTCTAAAATGGAGAAAATTGATAACTTGGACAATAAAATATTAAGAATTGAAAAGGACTTAGCAAATATTCGAGATAATAGCTTAGAAGTAAAGTCTAAAGAAGAAGCTGGTCACGAGACTTATAATCTAGAAGATATAAAGCAAGGAATTGAAAGAGAGGCTGTAATGTTGCAATACAGGATCACAGAATTTGCGATCAGAATTAGAGGCTTACAGGAAAATAATAGTGATGACTTAAGAAAAACATCTGCTCAAGTTTTGGCTGGGATCTTAAAGGTTCATCACGGGGACGTAATCAGTAAAATTGATAAGGCTTACAGAGTGGATTCCTGGATTGCCAAGCAAAGGCAATTGCCTAGAGATGTGGTAATTTACTTTACAGAAAAAGAGATAAGAAATGATATTCTGCAAAAATCCTTTAACTCTACTTTACAACTGAATGGGAGAAAAATTTGGATATATAAGGAATTGCCGCCTAAGATCTTAAGAGATAGAAAGAAATTTGGGCCCTTGGTGACTGAGTTAAGAAGACAGAATATCTTATACAGGTGGGATGTCCCAGTGGGTATAATATTGAGATATCAAGGAGTAAGATATCAGTTAAATACTCTTGAAAAAGCGGAAGAATTCTATTATAAGGTACTTAAAAAGCAAAATCAACAAGAGATTGAAACCCAAGAAAAGCAGAAGGAGATGGAAATAACGAAGAAACAACAAATTAAAGAGGTCTCCATAGATGAGCCGCTTTTGGATCCTCTTTCAGAGGCCTCAGCTGGATTATCTAATATAAGAGAGGCGGTTCCGGACCCTAATGCAATGATTTGTCAAGCCACAAACGAGCATGTAAGTCAATCAGCTGATATACAATTTACAGAACCAGAAAGATCTCAGCCACAGATGCAAACCCAACAGGATCAAGCTACTCTTCAGCAAAACCAAATAGTTGATACACAATCTACAGAAAGGAGTTTAGGATGGAGATCCAACCCACAAGAAGTTAAGAAAAGAAGAAGTAGGTCTCAAAAACATAAAAAATTTTTAAATTAAACAACAGTGTAATGCCAGTTACTTATGAGAGGACTGAATATATAAAAAGATAATGGGCAAAATATTGGCTTATTTTATCCTGAGGAGAGTGGCAGATCTCTGCAGTGCTGAATTATTGGGTGTGAAAAAGGCCTTAAACCAAATGGTTGGAAATATCTTGTTTGTTTTTTGGAGTTCCGGATAAATACGTGTATGCTGAGCTATATGGCAAGAGACTTATTGGATTGGGGCACGCAGAAGATCTGGTTGTTACCCTATTATGATGGTTGGAACCAATTATCTGGATTAAAGACACCTCCATAAACATTATATGGAATATAATTATAAAGTCACTCGGGTGGTTGTCGGGGTTTTTTCTTTTCCAATATGAAGATATTTGTTGCTGATGGGGGCAGATGGTAACTGAAGATATCGAAAATACTGTTGGAATAAGGATGCGATGTTACCCTAACATGGGTGGAGTTCATCATCCAGTTGAAAGATATTCCAGAAGATGCTATATGGATCATAAGTTTAAAGTTTTTTTTTTTTTTTAGGATCTTATTTACATAAGGGAATATTTTTCTAGGGGATTGGGTAGAAGAATAGAGATATTAAGAATAATTATGGTAATTCTGTAGGAAAGTGGGTGGAGAAAGGTTAGGTTATGGATTGTTTATTTTAAAGAAATGTTTAGATGTGAATATTTGTAATGAAGGGGGGAAACGAAATGGCTACTGGAACTGAATAAGTGTTAAATTAAGACTTTTTGAATACTTAGAATAGAAGTATGTTTTGAAATGTTATATTGTCTGAGGGGTAGTAAAAGGGTAGACTACGAGTAGAAATTGTTAAATTGGGAGATATAATAATATTATTACTTTAAATCAGGAGTTATTAGATAATGTTATAATAGAATGTCACTTTGAAATGCTTATTATAGCATAGTATACGGGGGTATGATAATCTTATTAAAATGAAAGGGTCAGTATATGGAGATTGAGTATGTGGATAGTAAAGTATGATATAATCTGTTATGAACTTGGGTTTTACTATGAGGAAGTCAAGGGGAGGGGGGGTGGGGGGAGGAGGGGGGGAAAAAGGGGGAAAAATTTGTATTTGAAAAACTTTTTCAATAAAAAAAAAAAGAAAAGAAAAGAAATAGATCCCAACACACAAGATATAAATGAATGAATTCTCTAAATCATGTATTCCTGATTTTGCCCAAGTAACTTTAGCATCCTTGCTGGCTTCTGTGTATGTTTACTTGCTCTATACTGGTATCCTATGGAACCCCCTTACCTGTGGGACCTTGAAGATGCTGAAGATGGAGGCCATCTGCCTTGAGTGTTGGGAGTTGAGACCTCCAATGACAGAAAGAAGTCTTTCCTGCTTGTCACATTTGTAAGCTGGAACCATCCGGCTTCGTGTGGACAGAAGAGAGAGGCTGTTCCAGGAAATCCTCCTAAAAGTCTCCTTATTGTCATAAATATGGAAGCCGAGTGTGATGTTGGGCAGCAGAACCAAGTCCTTGTTGATTTTTGTTACTGCAAGTACCAAAGCCAGAAAGAGCTGATAATTCTTGAATGTAGTGCTATAATGAGAAAACATTTGGTTAGATTATAGGGAAGCTTGTAAGCCAAAAAAGCGAATACAATTCTGGGTTGTAGAAACAGAGGCATCAAATCAAAATCATGTGAAGTATTAGTACCACTTTATAAAGCCTTAGTAAGACCATACTGCCACCAATTTTGGTCACCACACTACAAAAAAGATGCTGAGGCTTTGGAAAAAGTTCAGAGAAGAGCAACTAAGACGATTAAAGAGCTGGAGACAAAAAAAAAAAACATATGAAGAACAGTTGCAGGATTTGGGTATGTCCAGTCTTGAGAAAAGAAGGACACGGGGGGACATGGTAGCAGGATTCCAGTATTTGAGGAGCTGCTACAAAGAAGAAGGGGTCAAATTATTTCCCAAAGCACCAGAAGGCAGGGCAAGAAACAATGGTTGGAAACTAACCAAGGAGAGAAGCAACCTGGAATTAAGGAGAAACTTCCTAACAGTGAGAACAATTAACCAGTGGAACAGCTTGCCACCGGAAGTTGTGGGTGCTTCATCACTGGAGGTTTTTAAGAAGAGACCGGACAGCTGCTTGTCTGAAATGGTATAGGGTCTTCTGCTTGAGAAGGGGGCTGGATTAGAAGACCTCCAAGGTCCCTTCCAGCTCTAATCTATTCTTACAGTATGTGCTGCTGGAGGTTGCTTTCCTTGAGTGTGTTTGTCTGTGTGTGTGTGTGTGTGTGTGTGTGTGTGTTCTCCTAGACTTTGAGGAGTTGAATCCATTTGTTGCGAGCCTTTGGACAAGAAAAAGTGGAAGGAAAAGATTATATTGATGGTATCACCCTGAAACCCTGGTCAATGTAGAGACGGGCTGAGAAACACCACATTTGAAACCCTAAACAGGCATGGCTCATCCATGGGAGACATATCTAAGGAAGCATTAGCAGTTTGATTGTCCTTTGGAAAAACTCTCTCAGCTTTGGGAACCACTGCTGTCCACAATACTCCACGAGATAGGAGTAGGAGTACTACTCAGGTGACCCTGAGGACACAGACAAACCTCCAAATCCTTCAACAACCCTCTAAAAGGATGCAGATGACCAGCTGTCTGCAAGGAATATAAATCCTTCCCTTCCCCCACTATCCTGTCAGAGCTGAAGAAGCTTCTTGGATGAAAAGCAGAACATCTTCAAAAGAAAAAAAACCAGAAAGTCCAGTTGCCTTCTGTAAAAGCGCCTTTGGGACTTCACAAAATAGATTTGCTAAAGTCCCTTAGAAAAGAACACTAATTTCCAAAACTGGATTTGCCGTTTTTTTTTTAATTCACACATTGTAAATAGATAGACTTTCTTGTGATTTCTGTCCAAATTAATATGTCAACTTCTTCCCTAAATCCACAAGATTAGATTAGATTTACAGAGTTGGAAGGGACCTTGTAAATCATCTAATCCAACCCCCTTCCCCCCGAGCAGGAGACCCTACACCATTTCTGACCGATGGCAGTCCAATCTCTTCTTGAAAGCCTCCAGTGATGAAGCTCCCACAACTTCTGAAGGCAACTTCTGTTCCATCGGTTGATTGTTCTCACTGTCAGAAAATTTCTCTGTCAGATGTAAATGCCTTATTCTCCAATGTGTAAATAATGTATATATGGAACATCAGAGGTTAACTTATTCTTTGGACTTTAATGTATTCATAACTTACCACTCCCATTCCTAGCTCCACCCCTTGTATATATAAGGAGCCACCCTCACCATTCTCGTTGCTTCTACCTCGAATATTCAGTGAATATAGAATGCCTATCATAATTAAAAAGAAATATATTTAAAGCTTTAACTTCTATTATCTTTATTGAGTCTGATCCTGAAAATATTGCAACAAGCTGGTAGCAGAGGATGGTTAATTGACTCAATAAGTAATTAAAAATGTCCAAGAAAGATAGGCCCAACACCAGGGCCTACAGCAAAGAAATAGAAACTGATCAAGAGATGATCAACGAATCCACCAATGCGATTTCGAGAGAATCCGAAGAATACACCACTGAAGAAGAAGAACTAATGAGTGAAAATAATGACCAGAAAGAAATCGAAATAGAAAATAACGAACTCAGGTCAGAGATATTAAAGATACTAAAAAGCCAAAAGAATGATGAAAGTCTCATCGCGGACCTCCAGGAGATGCTGAAGAACAGCGGAGCAGCGAGAGAGAAAAACGTCATTAAAGAAAAACCCAAAGATCAAAAAATCGTAAGTGAGATGACTACTGAGAAAATAGTTGTTAAAAAGAAAAGATGTGATCCCGCGCGAAATTTTGAATGGCAGCCATCTTGGTTTCAATGAACTTCAAAAGAGAATGGAGCAGAGCCAATCAAAACGCTCAGTTCAAAATTTCTGGCGCGAAAAACACTATCAGACGAAGAAAGTGAGAAAGAAGTCTCAAACTCTTCAGATGATCCAAAATCAGAAAGTGAAGACGATTTAACAAAATCTCAAGTAAAATCAGCAATGAAAACGCTTTTTGCTGCTTTTGGGCCAAGACTGAAAATTACCAAGACATCTACGAAGAAGCAAGAAATCAAACCGGCGACTCAAGACCTGCACGCTCCCATCCTGACTTCGAAAGCGACGACGCCCGAGCCCAGAGAGCCATGCCGATTTCGCCCTACACCACAGACAAAATCGAATACCAACGCACACAAAAAGAAGAAAAGAACCGTCACCACCACCAGAACCCCAAAAACCGAGCCAGAGACCGACTCATCTGAGGAGGAGCGGATCGAGAGAGCTGAAAGGGAGAGAACCTTCCACGACGCCACCAAAGAAGAAATGAACAACGCGCATGTGCGAAACTACGTAGACGACCCAGAAGGACTTGAACTGGCCAGAGAACCGCGCAGACTCATTGCAAGCATCCCAATGCCGTTCTGTAATTTCCTGCACTTGAGAGATCACGGACTGCCCCAGGTTGTAAGTAATGGACAGAATAATGTAGGTAACTTACCCAGTGACTTCCCAAAACTTAGAATTGATGGCATTAATTTACAAGAGTGGTATCAACAGCTTCAGGTTATTTTCATGAAAGAAAATTTACTATTCTTTATAACTAGCCCTCCAAGAAGACCTTGGACTTTAAAAATAGATTGTTTACATCATAGAGCATTTTTCATAATAATATCTAGCGTGTCTCCTGCAATGTATCATAGCATCAAACCAAACCTAACTGTATCAGAAATAATTCAATGCATGTTTAATCTATTTCACAGCGATAGCGTAGCTACAACCACAAGAATGTCTAAGGATTTCTTTTCCTCTAGAGTAAAACCAGGGGTTTCTATAAGTGAGCATTTGATAAATCTAAACAAAATAAGAGCTGAGCTACAATTGAGGGGGGAAGTGATTTCAGATCAAACAATGAAAAGTGTTATTATCAATTCACTTGATCCATCATGGGATAGCTTTATGTCACACTTAGATACCATTAATTTGGGATATTTATCCATAGAAAGTATATCTAACAAATTGATAGCAGAAGACAATTCAAGAAAAAATCGATCCAGTAACCAAACAGACCACAAACCTTTTAGGAAAGTAGTCTTTCAAGATAAACATAATGAGGCCTTTAGATGCTACAATTGTGGATCCAGGGAACATAGTAGAAGAGACTGCCCCAAAGTCTCAAGAGAGAGACATAGACCAGAATATAGGAGCAAATATAATTACAGACAATCTTCCACAGATAGACACAAATATAGAAGCCCACCAAATTACAAAGAAGGTAGAGGGGGTAGAGAAAATTCAAAAGAGAGGAAATCTGGGTCACTGAATGGGCTAAATAAACAAGACAGCACCAGAACACAGCAGGATGAGAATAACAATTGGCTTATTGACTCTGGTGCAACAAATCACACCACCAACAACAAAAGTATATTATCTTCATTTATAGAAGATATGTTTGTGATAAAGGTAGCTAATCAAGAAAAGGTTCAAGTACTAGGCAAAGGAAATGTGACCTTGCCTGGTCTAGGGAAAATAGAGGGGGTATTATTAATCCCAGAAATACCTCACAACATACTAAGTGCCATAAAATTAAGCAGAGAATCTGATATCAATATAGTTTTCTCAAAGGGGAAAGCAACTATAGAAAAGAACAAAACAAATGTAGGTACTGTAATGATAAAAGGAGGTCTACCCTATCTGATAACTAAAGAAAGATGTTTACATAACATTGATTCAAATATGGAAGATTGTATTGAAGCAGATGATGAAAATGTCAGTAACAGTGACAATGATGAGTGTAGAATAACTCATGATCACAAAAACACATACAAGGAAAAGAAACCAAAAATAGGTAAACCAATTCATGATGAGTGTGCTCACATCTTACACAGGAAGTTAGGACATGCAAGCTTTCCTGTAGTACAAAAAATGACTGAACACGCAGAAGGTGTCAAAATAAAAAATTGTGAAAATTATTTGGAATGCTCAGTATGTAAGTCCACCAAACTAAAAACCAGTCCCAGACCAAAAAAATCTAACAGATCAACTAACAATATTTTTGATTTGGTACATATGGACTTAGTTGGTCCATTAAGTCCCTCAATTACCTATAGAAAACGTTACTTCCTAACAATAGTGGATGACTACAGCCGATATGGTTTTGTTTACACATTAAAGCACAAGGATGAAACATTTCAGAAATTTAAGGAATTCTACAAACGTATAGAAACACAACATAATATCAGAATAAAGCAAATTATGACAGATAGGGGATGTGAGTTCATGTCTAAAGAATTCTCTCAATGGTTAAAGGATAGAGGAATGTTACATTTCACGTCCAATCCTTTTTCTGCATTTCAAAATGGAGTTGCAGAGAGGAAAAATTCCACACTACAAACCATGATTAGGTGCACATTAGAGGATGCTGGTTTAGGCAAACAATTTTGGTCAGAG